CAGCCTGGATACGGCGATACGCTGATTGACAAAGGTGAAAGAAGCAGCAAAGAATCGCAGAATCTGGGAACACTTCGGCACAGGCATTTAAAATGGAAGTTTCAAAATCCGTCATAATTTTCTCTGGGCTAAAATTTTCTATACGGTATTCTCGAGCCGCGGTTGCAACAGCAGTCAAAAGTGCAGCATATTGCGCACTTTCTTTCGATGAAAGTAAAGCATATACCAATGGCAGAGCAATTTCGTAGTTGTACTCGTCATCTAAATCTTGCACATTTCTTTTTACAAGTCCAAGAATTGTGAAAACTTGCGTAAATATGTTTGGCGAAACCTGTAAATAATTTGTAGAGATCTTTTATTATAAAATGCAGAAATAATTTTTAACATTCTTTAAACGGAGAAATGAATGCAATATATGTTAACCTTAAAAGTTCCGTCCAAGAACCAAATTTTGCTTCGCGACAATAATTCTAAATTTCTTCTTGAACTAAAAACAAGGACTCTGGACTCGTGGCTCTGAGATGCTTGCATGGAGTCATAGATTAAAAAAGTTTCTCCCGCTAGAGTGTTCCGATACCGCTCAGGGATTTCATCTAATTGATCCAATGATGTAGGATTTGGAGGGAGGTTTTTTCGATGTTGCCGTCTCATGGCTTTTTTTAAATTTTCTCTCTCAGGTAGCTGACTTATATCTCCTTCGCTCAGCTGCAGGAATTCTGCGCGTAAAATTTGAGCGGGCGGCTGCTCCGGGTGTTCTTCTGCTCCCCTTTTTAACCTACAGCGTATAGTAATATAATAATTAGAATTGAATTATAATTATAATTATAATAATAAAAAAATAAAATAAATAAAAATTATAATTATAATTATAATAATAAAAAAAATAAATAAATAAAAATTATAATTATAATTCAATCGTAAAGAAATGTCACATATTGTCTAACCTCGCCTTCAGTATTTCAGCCTCACATTCCTCACGGTTCGGTGCGTGAGTATGACCCGGCTCTGACACATCCTTCAACATGATAACATTTTCACCTGGTTCACACGTTACAGAAATCACCCGAATAGTACATGTCTTCCTTCGAACTCCAACACAATCCCAATAAGTTTTTCCTGACTTAGATCTCGACCGCTGATAAATGAATCTGTCTAATATTAACTTTGTGCCAAGGTTGACGGCATTTTCCATTTTAAATATTAAAAATAAGTTTATACAAAAAATTTTATAAAAAAAAATAATTAACAAAACTGACAAACTCAAGACTGACAGCAGTTTAAAAACATTATAGTAGTTGCTATGGTAATCATAACCGTTCAATTTTCTATATACATTTCAAATCTTTTTATCTGTAATTTTTTTTTTTGAAAATTTAAATATTTTTGGGAATATCTCCATTCGGGAAATTTCGCATTCGTAAAAATGGTCTTCGGGAAAAAGGTTTTCGGAAAATTTTACATTCAGGAATTTGGACTTTCGGGACATTGTCATTCGGGAATATGACCGGGAATCGTTAAAGATAGCCTAACCAGAATTTTTTTTTCAGTGTATCACATTGACGACTCTAATCAGACTAAGCTTTCCCTACTCTTTTTTTATTTACTATATAAATTTTCTACTTCAATGACATCTATGTATCAGTTCAAACTTAAAGAATCTCAAATCCTACACTCAACCCCCCTGAAATGAGATACGTTTTAAATCTCCAAAACTTACATCTCTCGTCATCATACATTCATTTTAATTTACATCTCCGATTAACTTCAAACAATTTTTTTTCATTATAAAATCCATAAAATGAATATTATTTAACTTTAAAACAAAATACATAAAATATCACAATTTACTCTTACAGTCAATTTAATTAAATGTCATCGTCTACCCGTGAAACCAGTTCTCACAAAAGTTCACACTCTACATTATTTAACTTTCTTTGGCATATGATCACTGCACTATCACTCAGCATTAGCCTCGTCAACACTATCCTCTTCTAAATCATTGTCGCCATAATCAATCCAAAGTTTGAGAAAATCAGCAACTGTTGACGTCTGCTTCGGAACTTCGTGTTCTCTAATTTTTTGAACAATGTAACGATTATTGCGCAACTGTTTGGTTATTCTATAAGGACCAAGGAATTTACTCGCAAATTTCATTCCAGAACCCTGCTGCGTTCTTTTAAGGGGGATTACTCATGAGAAGTGTGCAAAATATGTCAAAACTCAACATTTTTTTCCTCGCTTAGTTAGTTATAAAATTTAAAACGACTTCTTGCGTATTGAAAAGTATAATTTGTAAGGGAATAGTTTCGGTTGTGGGCACCCTTTTGTTTATAGCTCATAACTTTTAACCAAATGCATATTATGAGACTTGTGTGCATCAGTGGCCTTAGGTAACTGTATAAAAAAAACTAAATTGATTCCTTCAATTGGAAAGATTTTATTAAAAATTTAGTGAAGTGATCACTTTTAGTAAAAAAAAAGTAATACCCGGTTTTGGGCACCCTAGGAGAATCCGAAAAAAGTGAAGGAAAACCACCATAATTGAAATGAAAATGATAATTGCTGAATAACACGAGATATTACATTCCTGGAATATTTCATTAGAATATTGGGAATATTCTAAAATATTATTTCATTTACATTCCGGGAGCATAAAAATATCCACTTTTTGAAATACCTATTCTTTTGAAATGTTGCAAGAATATTTGGATATTTCATAGGATTACTACAGGAATATTTCTTTGGAATATTGTGGGAATATTCAAAAAAAAAATTATAAAAATATTATAATATGAATAATACATCAATATTCTTGAAAAAAATAAAATTTACATAATATTTTTCGAACTTACAAGAATATTCCTACAATATTCCAAAGGGACATTCGAATGGTCGGATATTTTTATATTCTTAGAACATCAATGGAATATTCCAAAGGATTATTTCAAATAAAGCAATGGAATATTATGGAAATATTCCATTTGAATATTGTGGAAACATTCCATTGGAATATTGTGATATTAATTGTTATAATTATTAATTATTATTATTTTTAATATAATGTATTAAAATATAATTTTAATTAATGAAATTTAATATAAGAAATTAATAATGCAAAAATGCGTATAACTTTTTTTAATATTAACATTTTTTAATGGGATTTGGCTTCTTTTTTCAGAATATAAAAGTATAATCAAGTTTTCTAAAAAGTGGTTATTTTTAACAAAAATGATATAAAGGTTTTCAGGAACGCTGATTACGATGATATCAAATTTACAGTTTTTCAGTTGACAACTGTCAACTCAACAATAAAGTATTCTAAACATTGATTATTTTTAACAAAAATGATAGTATATGAGGGTTTCTCAGGGTTGTTGATTCTAAATATAATGACAAATAATTGTCAATTTGAAATCATATTCGTAATTAGCGACCCAAAACCCTGTTATTGCCATTTTCGTTAAAAATAATTACTTTTTAGAAAAGTTGACAGGTTAATTGACAGCTGCCAATGGTCAATTTGACATCATAACCGTAATGAGCGACCCCGAAAACCCATATAACGTCAATTTTGTTAAATATAATTATTTTTTAGAAACTTCGACTGTTGCAATAACAGCTGTCTACTGTCAAATTGTCAATGTGACATAAAATAAAACAACCGGAACATGCACCTTTTTTATTTAAAAGACCAACAATTTATGTCGTTTTGACTTTTTGTTCAAATTCAAAATTAAACCACAAAATATAACGTAAAAAGTGAACAAAAAAAATTGTATCCACCTTTTTTTTAATTATTTACACCTATTTAACACACTTGGAAAAAAGGAGAAAATCACTTTTTCCTTCATTTTTTCAAGATATTTTCATGATGCTCACTATTTCTAAAAAAATGCGCGTATCGCTTCGGTATTAATACAAAAACAGTGTACTGTCAACATACAAGTTTGACCATATTCAGATCAGCAATATGTCGGCTTCCATAAATTATGTCACAGGCTTAGGGGGGGAGGGTTTACGAAATTGTGACAGTTTGTGACAGGGTAGGGGGGGGTGTTTCATAAACTGTGACATCACGAATTTACTTTAAAAGTAACTTTCATTTAACTAAAGAAATCAATTTTTTTTACTTCGTGAAATTTAAATATCTTTCATACAGCGCGCCGTTTTTTTATTAGGCGCATCTGAATCTTGCGTCACCTTAAAGTATGCAAAGATTATTTATGTTTAAAACAAAATTTATAAGAATAATTTTTATAGCTCTAAAAATAATAATAATGTAATCAGAACTTATAAAAATTAATATTTGTTGTGGCAAACCATATAAGATTTAATTTTAAGTAATAATAATAATAACGATAGATTCTTTTATTTGTATATTATAACGACTTATCGCTGAGAACGCTGTTCTCTCTCTGAAATAATTTTCGGCGTCGGCAAACATGTGCGTTTGTCGTCTGCTAAGTTTCACGCGTACCAACTTAAGAATTTCTTAAGTTGGTAATAGCGCGGGCGAATAATTCAAATTTGAATTATAGAATATTTGGGAAAATCACCTGGAAGGGCAGCTAAATGACGATAACGAGTCAATTACGAATTGGTTCGATACAATCCCCCTTTCTTAACTGCCGTTGCAGGTTATTTTCCTTTGCAGTTTATGAAGTCCAATTAACCATTCCACTGAATCTGGCTATGAAAATTAAACTTGTAAAATACTAAATGAAAATAAAAAGCATTTTAATTAAATGTTATGTCAAACTATTATAAAAATAAAAAATTAGGTAAAAATTAAATAATTGTATCTCTCAACTGTCATTTTGGAACTATAGCGCTTTTTCGATTAGCAAGGTTATGAAATGATACATATAAGTATGGAACACAAATTTTTTATTTCACAACTTGGCGATTGCGCACACGACGTTGAGGTAGTTTACGAAGATACTTGAACATAATCGTAGTAATTTATATATATATATATATATTTTTTTTTTTAACAACAATATATTTTTTTTGTTTTTGCGCAATGGCGCAATTGGCACTTTGGAACAATATCTTTGGTTATCAAAGGATAACAGTGTTATTCAAAAGTAAAAAGAGAGATTTTAATAGTATGAATAAGAAAATGAGTATTTTAACTAAACCTAAGTAATACTTTGTTGTTTAAAGTTTAACGTTTTAAATGTTTAAAGAGATAAACTACAAAAACAATGGTAATACTGAAAACTAAGATCTAATAATTAGTAATACATGTAAAAAAAAAGAAGTATCAAAAGGGAAAATAATTTTCTTGAACACAAAATAGTTAATGCAGTAGAGCAACTAGCGCGTGGAAGAGAAAGAGTTCCGCTCTTTCTCGTCATCCTTGTCCAGTCCAATTCCAAGGGCGTCCTTGAGATCCTCCCAGAGAGCAATATTATCCTCATCGGATTCACGTGGAGAGATGAGGTTTTGCGCACTGTGCGAGCGATCTCTAATTGGCAGGGCGGCCAACTTAGCGGCAATACCTTCATCGAGAGGTGGTTCGGTCATGGGTGGCGCAGATGAATTTTTTAAGGACGTTCCAGTCTTGTGGCTAGACTGGGGCATTCCAACCTTAGATGACGAACAAGATCGGATTGATATGTCGCTTCTGGAATTGTTGATGGCGATGGACGACACATTGACTTCCTTCACATGAGAGGCTGCAGCGCTACTAGGGGCTGAAGCAGAGGCTTGATCCCTAGGTTTTGATTGGCTAGAGGAAGACAGCTGAGACGTTGAATTCTCCAATTCTTGCGCTAATTTATTGCGCTTGATGATGCCGTCGGCGATCATTCGTTTGCGACAATCGGCTCAGTGCGGATTGGGCAAATTCTTCGGTTGCCAGCAGGTCTTGCATCTACGATTTTCTGGAATGTTAGTAGATGCGCTTGGGAAGTGTGGCCATGGACACTCTTTTGTTGAGAAGTCAGGATGCGCGCATACTTGACAGAATTTTCCTGAAAATCTTCTGTGACAGGAACGGAAACTATGCCCTGGTGTTCCGCAATTTAGGCATCCTTCTGGGACCTTTAGACGAAGCTTGGGCTCGCGCAAATTAGCAAGCGCGTGGTAAACTTCCGATACTGTTCGGTTGAACAATTCTCGAAGTCGGTTGCTGTATTCTTCCTGGTAAGAATAGTCTTCGGACAGCTGGTTGTAGTCGACTTCATAGGATTTCAAGTCCTTCTTCATCTTTGCGCATTCAGCACGAAGATCATTGGACTCTTCCGTGATCCTTGTGATCTGCGTAGAGAGATCATGGCGCTCTTTCACAAGATCTACGAGGGCTTTGTATTGATCCTCGAGATCGGTGTTGGGCTTTGTTGAAGAGGTGGCGTTAAATTTGGAATCCTCCTCCAAGATCAACAATTGCTTGCGCGTAGCGGCTAATTTCTCGATCAGATCGCGTCGTTCTGATAGTAGAGCCTCGAAATCAGATTTATGCACTGTAACCAGATCGCTGGGCTCACTAGTGATGGTGACATCGCTTGACTCTCCAGATGTCATATGCACGCGCAAAATTGGAATCTGAGGCAACGTTGAGGTTGTAGGGTCCTCGGTGATCCTTTCTGCGCTGTTCATGTTGATTGACAAATCTAAAATAAATTTAATTTCATAGGTCGCGATCGCAGATTTTTTCGTGCAGGCTTTAAATCATTGACGTGGTATTTACCAAGTCTTTTACCATTGACATCGTTAATAATGACCACCATAGGAGATAACTTCTCGGCAATTATGGCTGGTCCTTTATAACGAGGAGCAAGCTTAGAACTGTAACCACGAGTCGCGTTGGATAAAGTGTTATTAGGATAGAACACTAGATCTCCAAGTTGAAAGTCAAGATTATTGTTTCGATTTTTATTATATAATTTACTTTGCTTTTTACTAGCTTTAACCATGTATTGTTCAACTTTTGCGCGTAATGCGTCTATGTGTTTTATACGATCTAACCAAGTGTGAATTGTTTCATCTAGGTTAATGTCAGTATTTGTGTCGCGTAGCGGTTCACCTATTCGTCGTGGTTCACGAGCAAAATTGAAGAAAGCTGGCGTGACACCAAGGGAGGTGTGGACTGTGGTGTTATAGGCAAATTGGATATCTTCGAGTAAAATATCCCATTCGCGCTGATTTTCACCAAGAAGACTTGCTAACATCGTTTTTAAATTACGGTTAATGCGCTCGACAGGGTTTGCCTGAGGGTGATAAACGGGTGTAGTTCGTTGTAACGAGCCAATTTTTTGTAAAAATGATGTAACATTGCGATTCACAAATTCTGTACCGTTATCGGTGATGACTATTCTAGGCGCTCCCCATCGGTTAACGAGGGTGCTTAAAGATTTAACGATTTTAGGACCGTCTGCTTTGGAAAGCGCGAAGCAGTCTATATAACGAGTATATGTATCTTCACACACTAGAATATAATTTTTACCTGATTTCGATCGAGGTAAGGGGCCTACGATATCGAGAGACACTGTTTCCCAAGGTTCTGTAATTTTGCGCGGATAAATTAAGCCTTGTGGTGAAGAATTCTTCGGTTTACACATTAGGCAAATTTCGCATTCATTAACAAAACGCTTGATATCTTCACGCATTCCGGGCCAATAAAAATGGTTTATTATAGAGAGATAAGTTTTATTAATTCCCTGATGCGCAGATTGGGGAGTACAATGATGCTCCGTAATGATTGGTAAAATTTCATTTTCCTTAAGAATTTTCTTCCAGGCGTTATTATCGCCTATGGTTTCTTTAACCAGATTAGGTTTAAAATAATATAATTGATTGTTCGAGTCAATTTTATATCTTTCATTGCGCGTCGGATCTTTCTGAACTTTTTCTAACATACTATTGTACCAGACGTTATTTTGAATGAGATTTAATTCTGCGGAATTTTCGTCATGTGTAACGTCTTCGTAAAGTCTTGAAAGAGTGTCATGCGCTTCATTGGTCGTACCTTTTCTATGTACGATTTTAACATTGTTTGCGGATAGCTCGAGAGCCCATCGCGCAAGCCTACCTTTAGGGTCTTTAAGACCTTGCAACCAAATTAAACTGGAATGATCTGTGATCACAGTAAATTCAGCGCATTCTAGGTAACAGCGGAGCTTTTTGATAGCAAAGATTACAGCTAAGCATTCCTTTTCTGTGGTGGTGTAATTTAATTCAGCACCTCTTAAAGGTCTGCTCAAGCATGTGATCAAGTATTCTTTTTCTCCATCTTGCTGTGTTAAAATGGCACCAATACCGGTGTCGCTTGCATCAGTATATAAGAAAAATGGTAAACCAGGTTTAGGCGCGACTAAAGGCAAAGCCTTTTTCAGAGATTCTTTGACTTCTATGAACGCGGTCTCGTGTTCTTCGGTCCAGTTCCAAGGTACCTTGGGACTCGCTAATTTATTTAGCGGTCCCTGCACTTTTGCTATATTGCGCAAGTGGCGGTGATACCAGTTTACCGAACCATTGAACCGGCGCAACTCTTTACGGTTTCGTGGAGTTGTGCGCTCGAGGATCGGTTCAACACGCTTGGGGTTAGTCTTTAATCCGTCTTTGTCAATGATGAAACCTAAATATTCTACCGACGATTTGGCGAAGTACGATTTTTCGCGATTAATAGACAATCCTGCTTCTTTTAAAATGGTAAGGACTATGTCAAGAAGTAGAATGTGTTCTTCAAAAGTTTTGGATATTATGATCCAATCGTCGAGATAAGCATGGACTTGTTCAGAATAATGTTCCGGTAAATTGTTTGCGCGGATATATTCTATGAACTTTTCTTTCAATCGGTCAGTTAGCGCTTGAAAGGTGGCCGGCGCGTTTGTGAGTCCGAAGGGCATTCTGACCCATTCGAACTGTCCACGACCAGGTACGACGAAGGCGGTATATTCGCGCGACTTCGGGTCAATTGGAATGTGGTGAAACGCATCGGTCAAGTCTATAGTGCTAATAACATTGGCCTCGGATAATGCGTCAAGTATCGTATCCATGCGTGGCAGAGGGTAAGCTGATTTCTTTGTATTTTTTATGTAACATTCGGAAATCCATGCATACTCTGGGTCTGCCATCCTTACGATAAGTGAGCACTACCGGACTAGCGAAGCGTCCATTGCTTCTAATTATAAACTTTTTATCTAAATATTTATCAATTTGATCGTTTATTATTTTATTTGCTTCTAAGCTGCGGCAATAAGGTTTTAATTTAAAAGGTGTGGGATCGGTGAGTTCGATCACATGCGTGGTTAAATCAGTAACACCGGTCCCAGAAATAAATTTCGATAATTTATCATCTAAGAACTCATCTAATATTTTTCTTTGTTCTGTAGTAGAGTTGCATTTGAGCAAGATTTACGAGAAATGAGACACAATAAGAGAAAATATCATTCTTTTGTTTTAAATCTCATCTCATTTAATCTCCAGTCTTCGAGATTCTCAAAATTTTTACTATTCTCGATCAATTTGCCTACTGGAGTGAAAACTGCTGCTTTAATAAAGTTGTCGAGTTGTCATAACACTGACATGAAAGCATTTGAATCAAATTAATTCTGTGATGAAATTATGCATGTTTTACATTCGATTAATAGGATGAATCTAAATATTGTGATAAATATAAAATGAATTTGGAAGGAAGACGGGTAGAAAAAGAATTTTTCGTATTTTAACCTATTGCACATTTTAACCTGTAATGAAAGGAGAAAACTGACAATGAAGACACTTGAAAATTAGTAAATTCATTAGAAGGAGATTCTAAAATAAAGTTATTTAAAAATAGTATATAACAGATCATATAGGAACAGATTTCATCAATATTTTAGAGTTTTTGAAAGTAAAATAAAGTAGATTAACAAATCTCGGAAAATATTTTCACAAAAAGGTTATAAATGATTTTAATAACTGTTTCAAATTATTATTACTTACTGTTATCTTCATATTACATTGTATTGGTAAATAAAAAAAATAATTATAATTCTAATAAGAAGAAGTAATCCACAGAAAACGCTAAATGTAAAGACTTGTTAAGTACGCACACAAGAAACAAATACAAAATAAAATAAATGACATTAATATTTTTAGGGAATTTCCTTTAATCACATATATTTTTAAACAAAGGCAAATTTTTAATTTATTTATTTACACTTTGATAGAGTGCAGTTTAAGACGACTTTTTTAAACATAAGTAATTAATAACAAAAAGAAAACAAACGTCTAACGAATTTAATAAATATTATTATAAAATACTTAAATTATAAATGAAAAATCTCGAATTTTTTCCATTGTTACAATTTTTCATTGTAGAGAAGACTGTATAACAGAGGAAAGAGAACATGTCACCCAAGAATTAAGACACATTAAATGCCTAGCTGACTCGTTACTTAATCTGTTTCGATGCTTTCTGATAATTAAAGAACTGCGCGAAAAAGCTCTTTCTGAAGCAACAGATGTTGCTTGAATTGACAATACATCACGCGCCATTCGCGCTAAATTTGGAAAGAAAGTTTCTCTACTTTTCCACCAATCTAAAATGTCTGTAGTCTTTTCGGCTCTTTCTTGTTGCAAGTACAAATCCAGTTCATATTCCCAGTTGTTTCTGTTCTTATTTCTTCTGCCTTTATTATTTCTGGCCTTATGTTTCGGTTCATCGAAGAATGAAATTACATCTAATTCGTCATCTTTGTCACTTGGATCAGACTCAGAATCGTTTGAAATGTCAATATTTGTTACCTTTATAATGCACAAAATGAAAATGTTTTAATTATTTAAAAATGACATATCATTGTTTGAATCACGCCAAAAAAATAACTAAACTTTTTTTAGTAAAGAAATGAAAATTGAATTAAAAAAGTTTCTTTAAATTATGATTTTTTAGTCAAATTTTAATAATCCATAGAGAAAAGATAATTTAAGTCATTTAAATTCAAGTTAAAATATATTTAAAGAGTTAATAGCAGAAGGAATATAGGATTTTTATATTTTTAATTAGAGAAATTATTCTTTAAATCGATAATTTTATCAATATTATTATTAATTTTAAAATTTAATTACTTCTTCCTGAGGAACATAGTAGTTAGTCATGTATAAAGTTTTGAATACTTCAAATGAATGAGCGTACATTTCTCTTCCCCATGGAGTTTTTTTAAACATTTCAGTTTTATGACGAGGATCTAAAATCAATGCAGCACAATAGATCCAATTACTTTTATTATAATGTTTAAAAAGTTTGTCACGTGCTGCTTGAAGTGCTGAAAGAATTTGTTTGTTTATTGTACAATCAGAAACACTATTCGACACCTTTTTCGATAATTCCAGAATTTCCTTATCCAACTTGTCGACCAACATATTGAATCCTATTATAACATAGGATATTGTGACATATTTATCACCACTCAGAAGATTCGAAAGAACTTGAAAATGCTTCAAATGCTTGCAGATTTCTTCCAGAACCAACCACTCTTCTTTAGAGAGTAATAAATGATTTACTTCCTTGTTATGCTGACACAATAACGTTATTGGCTTTTGCATTCCTAACCCGAGTTTTATCATATCTACACTAGAATTCCATCTAGTGCTTACGTCAATATTTGGAGATTTAAATTTAACGTTGCAC